CTGCTTGTGCAACTTATTCCCTACAGATACCTTGTAACACCAAAATCTGTTTAATTGTCGATGAATTGGTTTCGTGTTCCTGTATGTTCATATATCGTTGATGGTTTTGTTTTTCAGACAAAGCGGGCAGGCTGTGGACGTTATCAGCCGCGCTTTCGTAGGATCGGCTTAGAGCTGACCGCCGAATGGAAGAAAATCAACGAAGAGTCGCAAGAGCGAAAGATTACTTTGACAGCAGAGCGCGTCTTGGAAGTGTTCAAACGAATTTCCGATGAAGATTGCTTGTCACTGGGTTTCGATCCGCGCTATGCCCGTCCCGACTGGATGATCGTCACTGTACTTCCAGTTCCACCGTTAGCTGTGCGGCCAGCTGTGGTTATGTACGGTGCTACCCGAAACCAAGATGACCTGACACACAAATTAGCTGATATCATCAAAGCTAACAACCAGCTCCGTCGTGATGAACAGAATGGTGCCGCATCTCATATACTTGCCGAAGATATTCGAATGCTACAATTTCACGTAACGACTATGACTGATAACGACGTACCGGGTTTACCAAAGGCAATTCAAAAATCAGGGCGTCCATTGAAATCCATCAAAACGCGTTTGAAAGGCAAAGCTGGCCGGATTCGAGGCAACCTGATGGGGAAGCGCGTCGATTTTTCCGCACGTACAGTCATCACAGCTGACCCGAATTTGAATCTCGACCAAGTGGGTGTTCCACGGACAATTGCGCAAAACCTAACCTATCCGGAAAATGTCACACAGTTCAATATTGATCACCTCCAGAAGCTTGTTCAGAACGGTACCCTGTATCCAGGTGCGAAATTTATTGTTCGTGAAAATGGTGATCGCATTGACCTTCGCTACCACCCAAAAGTGGCCGATCTTACGCTCCAAGTCGGTTATGTTGTTGAACGGCATATGCTGAACGATGATTATGTTATTTTCAACCGACAGCCTACGCTTCACAAAATGTCCATGATGTGCCATCGAGTTAAAGTGCTTCCTTGGTCGACGTTTCGTTTGAATCTGTCAGTTACCTCACCATACAATGCTGATTTCGATGGTGATGAAATGAATCTACACTTGCCCCAGTCTGTTGAGACTAAAGCTGAAATCAGTCAGCTGGCTCGCGTTTCTCGGTTGGTTATCACTCCACAGGCCAACAAACCCGTCATGAGTATTGTGCAGGACACACTGACGGCCGTAAACAAAATGACACAACGGGATGTCTTCCTCAATCGCGCTGAAATGATGAATCTCCTCATGTACCTGCCCACGTGGAACGGCCGTATGCCGAAACCGGCAATATATAAACCACAACGCTTGTGGACCGGAAAGCAGCTGTTTACTCTGATCATTCCCGGCCGCGTGAACTGTATTCGAACTCACAGTACCCATCCGGAAGACGAAGATGGCGGACCTTACCGCTGGATTTCCCCTGGCGATACTAAGGTGATTGTCGATGATGGTGATTTGATTGCAGGTATTCTGTGCAAAAAGACGCTTGGCTCTGGTTCAGGTTCACTCATCCATATCGTTGCCCTGGAACATCACCACGAGCAGGTCAGTATGTTTTTCAACAACATTCAAACAGTGGTTAATAACTGGCTGCTGATTGAAGGACACACTATCGGCATCGCTGATACACTGTATGATCAAGCCACTCGACGACAAATTGGTGAAACCATTACCAAAGCGAAAGATGCCGTCTTCGAGATAATTGACCAGGCACACAACTATGATTTACAACCCACACCTGGGAATACTCTACGTCAGACGTTTGAAAATAGTGTGAACAAGATTCTCAATGATGCTCGCGATAAAACCGGAAGCTGCGCCCAGCGATCGCTTTCAAAGTATAACAACTTCAACATTATGGTGGTAGCTGGCTCTAAAGGCTCCCGCATTAACATCTCTCAGGTTATTGCTTGTGTCGGTCAACAAAACGTGGAAGGAAAACGTATACCTTTTGGATTCCGTCACAGGACACTACCTCATTTCATTCAGGACGATTATGGTCCCGAATCCCGTGGGTTCGTGGAGAACTCCTATCTCGCTGGCTTGACGCCCACTGAATTCTTCTTCCACGCCATGGGCGGTCGCGAAGGTCTGATCGACACTGCTGTGAAAACGGCCGAGACGGGTTACATACAGCGGCGTCTGATAAAAGCGATGGAGTCCGTTATGGTTAAATACGATGGAACGGTGCGCAATCAGATAAACCAACTTATCCAACTTCGCTATGGAGAAGACGGACTTGACGCGACTCATGTTGAATTTCAAAGACTGCCGACATTCAAACCATCTCACGCAGCTTTCGAGCATGGATTCCGTTTTGATATTGGCAATGAACGGGCCCTGAGGCGATGTATGCCGGAGGACGTAGTTCGGAGTTTGGCCACAGATTCGCAAACTCAGGCTGAATTGGATGCAGAGTGGATGCAGCTATGCACTGATCGCGAGACTCTACGTTCTATCATACGCAAAACAGATGATACTGTGGTTTTACCATGCAATATTAACCGGCTTGTTATGAATGCTCAGAAAATTTTTGAGATAGACCCTTTGTCGAAAACAAATGTACACCCGAGGCAGGTCGTAGAAATGGTCCGAGAAACCTGCAAACGCCTTGTGGTCGTACCCGGTGACGACCGGTTAAGCCGAGAGGCCAACGCCAACGCAACTTTGCTTATGGGTGCACTGATTCGTTCGTCATTGTGCGCGAAGAAGGTGATCAACGAATACCGTTTGAGTTATGAAGCGCTTGATTGGGTCCTGGGTGAAATTCGAGCCCGTTTCCAACAGGCGCAGATTCATCCTGGGGAAATGGTCGGAGCACTGGCGGCACAGTCTCTGGGTGAGCCCGCCACACAAATGACGCTGAATACTTTCCACTACGCTGGTGTGTCCGCGAAAAACGTCACCTTGGGCGTACCACGATTGAAGGAAATTATCAACGTGAGCAAAAAGCCAAAGACTCCTTCTATGACAATCTACTTAACAGGTCCAGCAGCACGTGATGCTGAACGAACGAAAGACGTTGTAGCACGTTTGGAGCATACCACTCTTCGTCGTTTGGTGAACAGTACCTATATTTACTATGACCCCGATCCGAAAAATAGCGTCGTTGAGGAGGATAGGGAGTGGGTATCTACCTACTATGAGCTACCTGACTTTGATGTCAACGCCATCAGTTCGTGGATGCTTCGTATCGAGTTCGCACGAAAAGGGATGACGGGTAAAAAGTTATCTATGGAGCAAATTTCGGATAAAATAACGCGCGCATTCGGTAACGATTTGATCTGCCACATCCCAGATGATAACCTAAAATTGGTGATGCGCATACGAATAATGAACAGTGACCTCGAGAAGGATTTGAAAGAAGCCGATACCACATCTGATAAGATGGAGGACGATACTTTCTTGCGGTTCATCGAAGCCAATCTACTCTCAGATATTACGCTACAAGGTATCCCACAGATCACAAAAGTTTATATGCACAGGCCGCAGACGCAAGACAAAAAGCGGGTGGTTATCAAAGATGATGGAAGTTTCGATGCTGTGGCTGAGTGGATGTTAGAGACTGATGGCACCTGTTTGATGAGGGTGTTGGCGGAGCGAGATGTGGACCCCACACGCACTGTCAGCAATGACATCGTTGAGATCTTCGAAGCGCTTGGTATTGAGGCTGTACGTAAAGCAATCGAGTGTGAAATGTATCACGTCATTTCTTTCGATGGGTCATATGTAAACTACCGACATTTGGCATTACTATGTGACATTATGACAGTTAAAGGTCACCTTATGGCAATTACTCGTCACGGACTAAACCGGCTTGACACAGGTGCCCTGGCACGTTGCAGTTTTGAGGAAACAGTAGATATCTTGATGGATGCAGCAACGCACGCGGAATGTGATCCAATGGCGGGTGTTTCAGAAACAATAATGCTGGGCCAGCTGGCAAAGATAGGCACTGGATGTTTTGATTTACTGTTAGACTCTGCAAAATGTCAAGAAGCTCAACCTATTCCACTGGCAGGTGTGGTTGGTATGGGGTTATTCAACGCTCCAGGGTTTGAGGGGATAGCTTCTCCAGGCCTCGGACTGAGCATGGGTCCCGATGGTCTCCCTGTTCTTGTTGGAGATATTGGTTATCAAACACCTTGGGACAGCGCACATTCTCCGGCAGGTTCTATTGATGCCTCTCCGAACTATCGCGGTGCCCTTGGAGGCGCAACAGCACCACATAGTGCCATGTTTTCCCCAGCAGTTCGTTACGATTCCTCACTTTCTCCTGGCCGCAGTCCCCAACTGGATAGTCCTCGCACACCTGAAGCCTTCTCCCCAGCTGCATACACCAGCTTTGCAAGTCCTTTATCACTTGCAGGAACACCACAAACTGAGTTGGGATCTCCTGGTTCTAGCCCCGGCCATTCAGGCAGTATGAGCAGCGGTTCTTTTGGCTACGGTGGCTCAGGCAGTCTTCGAGCAGATATTTTCTCTCCAATTCACAAGCCCTCCTACGCCGGTACTGGGAGTAGCTCTAGTTTCAGTGCAGGAGCTGACAGTAATTCGCCTACTTTCTCTCTGCAGCAGTCATACGAACCAATGTCAGTCGGCTATACCCAGCGATCACCTCATCACCCCAGCTTCTCCGGCTACGGTATGATTTCCAGTGGTTCCTACGGGCCATCCAGTGACTCACCTGACAGCATAAATTACTCCTACAGTCCACACAGTCCTATGCCTACTGGAGGTGGTAGCTCGGCTAGCCGAGATTATATCGGTTGGAGTACGTTACCGGGCTCGGAAACACCTGGTGTTTCGCCCAGCTCACCATCACCTGGAATGAGCGCGAGCAGTTTAAGCGGTAGTCGACCGTCTTTCTATCCCAATAGCCAACCAGCTTCACCCCTTTCCTTCAATGCCTCACCATCTGCTCCTCGATATAGCCCCCCTACACTCGCCGGCAGTTCTTCCATGGAGAGCTACTCCCCTCAGATGACGACACCTAGTTCTCCAGGTGGGGCACCCAGTGGAACTTTAGGAGGTCCCAGTCATTCCCCGCTGTCCTATCCAACAACATGTTGGTTCTTGTTGGAGATATTGGTTATCAAACACCTTTGGACAGAACCAAGATGCTAAATATTTAGTTATAAAACACGTGACATTACCGAGTGTACTTATAGCAGCGCGCAGACACAAAACCAAGATGTGGGTTCAGGCGATAGTGAGTGTTGGATCTGGGAAGATCGGATGTCTGGAAGGTTGTAACCTAAATGAAGTCTGTCAAAATTTCCAGAGGAAATGCGTCGCTAAGAGACAGTGACTGTCGCGATTTGTTGTCACGTTAGCTTTGATATGGACACCCATATCCAAGGAACAAAGCACCCGTCAGGTTTATGGTGGCGATTAGGTCGGTTGTAAAGCCGGGTGTTTCAACTGGAGGTCATGCGTTAAACTGACTGAAGATCAAACTATTTTCCTTTCATGCGTTCAGCACACAAAGAATTTAATATAGTATTAAAAAAATCCTGGGATCCAATTTTTTGGGCAGGTGCTCTTTCTTGGTAAATTCAAATGGGCTCATAGCGGTTCCCGAATCAGCTTGCTTCTCAAATGGGATCAAACAATACACAAGCCTACCCAATGAAAGGTATTCTCCGGTTCAAATCAAAAGAAGAGTCGTGGGTGGATAAACTCGTCGACTCGCGAACCGAGACGAAATGATTCTCAGGGGGACTGGCCTCTGATGTATTCACATCCAGAAGACATAAACAGGTGGAAGTGAAATCTGACCATAATCTCACAACGGTTTTTTTGCTGTCAACTATTCGACTGNTTATCCCATATCACATGGAAAGAGCACTGGCATGGGTACTGGTTTGGGATCAAGCAGTCTGCTCGGCTATTCAGGAACTGGATTTTCAGGCTCGACCCTGGGGGCTTCGGCCTACAGCCCCTCCACGTTACAAACACCCTCGTCACATTATTTAATGACCACACCCCGTCCTGGATCCACCTCTCCCAGTCCTCGTGAATACTATCCGACACCAACACCTGACACACGACGGTGATAGTTTTATAAGACAGGTGCCTGCTCCATTCCAGCTTACTTTGCGATCCCATGTCCCTACTTTTCGGCCACCACTGTATCATTGCTTTCAACCACTGATTGATTAAACACATGTCCATTTTGAGCCTAGTCCTTTCAGTTCAGTCTGTTCCGTCCGTAAAAGTTGGTACTGCAGTGGATATCCCTAAATCGTGATCAATTCAGGGCGTTTAGTACCATGGGCTAAGATCTTAGGGCTCCAAACGTTAGTAAATGGTTTACAGCATATTCTAGTCCTTGGGGTTTCTGGCGTACACATAGGCGTACTATGTGTTGCTAGTAGTCGGACTACTCGTTTGCCGCCTGGCGAGGTTATGAAAGCAGAAATCATGATTACGGCAATTTATCCACGGGAATTGTAGGTTTTCGCTGAAATTTGGAGAAATTTACGAATGCCCCTAACTCTGTTTTTTACAAGGACTGATGCTGGTGCTCGTTGTTTTACCATCATGTTTGGGCTGGCTAGTGGCCTTTAACGAATCTGCTGATCTTATTTGGTCAGCTCTACACTGGCACCAACGGCTCACATGCAGCACCGTATTCGGCACTGCACAAACCGCTTGTGGTTCCCATGCTGTGCTCAGTCATTCAATGGATCAACCGCTGTTGACCGATAGAACCGCTTCATATTTCCGTAGAAGAAAATCGTGTAGCTGTAGCACCCTTTTGGTGCCCAACTACCATGCCACCAGAAGGAAGCACGAGGGCTGGGATGCTGTCAGGTTGCCAAGCCTGGACTAGAGAAGACGAGATGCGGAAGTCGGGTTCGAACCAAGAAACTTTCGGTCAGTAAATTCGCGCCCTAACCACCAAGCCGTCTTGCCTATAGAAAAAAAGACAAACGTGATTTATAAATCAACTATAGAAACACGTGATAATTTCGAGTGGGAGTTCCGAAATGGAATAGATCATCATCATCTTAGGGGATTCTGCTTCGTGATTACCATAAATCAACTATAGAAACACGTGATAATTTCGAGTGGGAGTTCCGAAATGGAATAGATCATCATCATCTTAGGGGATTCTGCTTTGTTCGTGATTACCTGTATGAGTTACCTGAACCTTTCTTTGAAATTCTGGCGTAAATCAAAACGGACCTCAGCAGGTGCCTAACTTAAGGACCTCACCTGTTTAGGAATGTCGAGTACTTTGAACATAACAATTAACTACCTAAAGGAGTGGTGTCAACTGCTCTTACAACAGGAGCATACGCTTACGATCTTCTTTAAAGGTATCGCTTGAAAGAAAGGGATTATCATTCCAGCAGGTATTTCAATTCAGCCGTAGACGAAGTCGAGACGTTACACATGCCTACTCGACCTGAAAAGGTTGTACATGCGGTACTATTCAAAGGTAAACTCCTACCGTCTGTACTGCAACCGTGAAAGTAGAAAATATTACTCGAGACTTCAGTGAGATGGACGAACGGACAAGATGGCTAATGTGGAAATTCGAGAGTGACTCATCGACTTTTATTAAGAGTGCATTTTCAACCTTAAGCATGTGACATATTTACCGGTACATCGCCCTCATCATTGTTATAGGCAACAGCACACCAGTGGTAGTTACTGTTGCTGAAGTGCCATACGGATCCCTGGGCGGAGTGAGAGGAGAACCAAGCAGTGACATCAGACAGCGGTTGATGGTGTCGACACCAACAGCGCTTCACGCACCAGTCTGCTGTTTGCATAAAATGGGGTGCCCGGGCTGATGTGATCAGGCAACAGCCGGTATGGTATGAGTATAGGTTTGTCGAATTTATTGACATCGTTATGATAGATGACAGCATACTGCCAGGGTGCCCGAGTCTACTCAGGGGAATGATTGGGATCCTTATTGGAGGATCCCAGTTCAAATGTTTAATCTCAAAGCAGCCTTCTAATGCAACTATGCTGCCAGAGTAATGTAGATTTTACGGGACGAGTTGCTCCCAGGAGATTATTCCAGTGGTTCTCAGTGGTGTTTTAACTCCTGGACTTCATCAACTACATGTTTGGCCCTTGAACTAATCCTCTCATGCCTGATTTTTCTCGATGAAGCTTTCAATACCGCGGCCCTGATGTCCAGCCACGACAAACCTCAACTTTGAGTGTTTTTTTGTAAGTTACATTCGTGTACTATTGTAAGGCCGGATTTTCAACACTACTAATCGGCTGGACAAGACTACACAACCAGTCTAACGCCGTCTTACATGAAATTGGCCACAGCGAAAATTCATCTTCAAATCTCACAGCTGAGGTGCAGGATGCCAGCACAATCATCACAATAAGGTGCATTTGAATTAAGTTATGGCAAATCCCAACCATGACCGTCATTCGATGGGGCAGCAAAAGTTGTCAGCGTGAACAATATTTACTAGGATGATTTTCTAAGTTCACTTGTGTGCATGTAACGACGCGACACCAGTCACCGAAAGGATACCTGCATGTTCTAACCACACCAGAACTTGCGCATGCTAAAATATACCAGCTCTCATCGGTTTGCTGAAATCATATCCTTCGTCAGGTAGTACGACATGGTTCTCATGTTCGAAGAGGAGGAAAAGGCGCAAGTATTCTTGGATGAACTGACCAAAGTTATCCCGTCCTTTGGTATGCACTTTGCACCCACAACGTGTAAGGTCATGCTTGTGGACATGCAGTCACTGAACACGCCACTTACAATCCAGGGAGAGGTACTGGAAGTTGTGGAGCATTTTACTTATCTTGGAAGTAGCATTAGTTCTGATTGTAGTGTGACAGATGAGGTGAATGCACGGATCTGCAAGGCTCGGGTCGCGTTTGCTAACTTGAGACACCTATGGCGTCAGAATGGTTTATCCCTGAATCTGAAGGGACGTGTGTATCAAGCTACAGTACGGGCTGTTTTGTTGTATGGCTGTGAGACTTGGCCTATTCGAGCAGCGGACCTGAG